GAGTAGGCCCAAGGCGATGCCGCTATTATTATGTAGCTCATGAATTAAGTAATAACTTAGTGCAACTAAACGAGACAGAAGCACCTGAATGTTTTTATTGTGATGAATTGCCATATTTAGGACCATGCCTCCGATAAATATTTACATAAAAATACTTTAAATTTGAAATTCCTAATTTGTCATAACGCAATTCTTTAGTTACCACTACTACTAATGAAAATGTTTAATTTACTAACAGTGAAATATTTAACTAAATTAAACTACAAGGACAAAATGGTATATCACTCTATTGCTATTGAAGAATAGAAAATTCTCTACTTTTCCTCATCACCAATAATAAGTTACCATAATATAAAAGATTTTCTTGAACTATTTCATTGAAATTTTTATCTATTTGTATTTAGACATTATACCAAGTTGCTACACTAAAAGTGACATACAACTTTCATAATCACTATCAATATATAAAAAGCTTTTAATTAAACCTAATTAAGTAAATATCAAATAAATTCAAACATAATTCGACAATGACACAAGTTGATGAAGATATTCTTAATATTTCAAGAAAATATTTTTTTCAAATGAGATTTACATTTTGTTCAATAAGTCTGTTTTAAATATTGAATTGACTTTTTATAACATAAAAATAAAAATGTAAGTATTTATTTTTATCGATAAAGTGTATGTTAGATTCATATTATCATATTCAAAATGGAAATATGTATAGATAAATCATATGTATAGATAATTAAAGCTAAAACTAAAAGTTTTCTCTTTTATTATGAATAGATTATCTATCAACTTAAATATTTTGATATCATTCATTTAATTGTGTTAATTGGTGGCAAAAATTGGTGGCTTTTATTCATTTTTCAGTAGTTAACATTAAATGTGAATATCAAGATGCTTGGATAAGGTTAGCAAAAGTAGAAAGTTTAAAACAATCTATTTTTGATGGCATGGTATATACTATTTCTTTTTATAAATATACCTATAATAGGATCATTTTGAATGTGTATAAATTTTTAAGTTATTTTTATGATTAAATGGTTCTTTGTCATTTTCTTTAACCGATTGATCAGGGTTATATTTTTATTTATTGTGAAAGTTAATTATGCTCAAATCTCTTAAAATACTTTTTGTTTACCTTTGACTTTTTTTCTTAAATGATATCTTTAGTTTTATAAAATTTTCCATAACATGTATTGCATCTTTTGTAAGGGAATTCAAGCCCATATGATGAAACATCACAATAACTCTATTCTTTAGTCATTGTATGTTTTTCATAAATGTATATAGTTAGTACTTTTACTATATAGTATTTGATGTGGCAGTATTATTAAGAAGGCAAGTTCTCCATGCATGGAATGTCGTAAATATTACTATAATTTCTACAATCTAACAATTAGCTAGGTTTAAATGAACTCACAAATATCTGGCCAGTTTAAGTAAGCCTGACATCACATTTACAACGTAGATTTCAAACAATCATAACTTAGGTCATTTCCATCCTTCTTATAGGTAATAATTTCTCAAATTTCAGCCAACATTTTATGAAGACTTCTAATAAGATTGATTGGCAAATGTATGTTTTTCTTTACATTCCTATAGACATTTGTTTTTTGTTGTGTATATATAAAAACAATCACCAAATGTTCACAGTTAGGTAATTTATTGTTGTCTTAATTTATAAATAAATAAAAAAATATAATTTAAATTACCTGATCTCTGAAATATCTGCAAGATTGTGTTTAATTAGTTAATTCTTTTCTTTATTCTATTTCTTTAAGTGTGTAGATTTTTGTAAATAGACATAAGGTTCGCCATTTAAAAATTTCACATTATTGTTGTTAAATAAAATCTTCAACTGATCTGTTAGTTTGAATTGCCTAACCAAGTTAGCCTCTATTACAGGGAAATTGAAATGAAAGGTAACTGTTCTGTGGGAAGGAAGCCAGCAGACTGTTAACCTGATGATAAGCTCTCCTAGGATTGCAGATGCATTGCCACCTTTTAATAGTGTCATTCACCAGTACAAAAGCTGAAGTGTGACACTTTTCATGCCGGTGCATTGTAAGACTGTGGAACGGAAGACCTGTATAAACCAAATTAAAATCAGGTTTAAAATAACTATGTAGGTAGCTACTAATCCTCTTATGATGATAATTTAGTATGTTTCAGGTTTGTTGAAAGCATTTAATTGTAATGGTTTCAACAAACCTGGTCTTTAGTGGATGTTGCGATTTATTAATAGACCTGTTTTGGTCTATTCATAAATCGCAACATCCACGGGCGAAACTTAAATGGTTCCTTAAATTGGAAAACCATCCATTAAACAAAAAAGAACTGTACTTTTTTGCAGTATGTTGAATAAAAAATTGGAATACCAATAAGCCATATAATTGTCTCAATCATTAATTAATTTAATATTTCATGCCAATCCAAAAGATGTTTTGAAAAAGCATTTTGGTATGCTTTTCAAATGAAGCATGTTGAACATATATAATTTTGTACTACAGTTTCGATGTTCCTATATAAATATCCTATGTATCTACCATGAAGTACTTTTTCGAAGGATAATAAAAAATAATAAATAACTTGATAAATTTGAAATATTTTATTGATAATGATTAACAGCTCTCTTTAAATTATACAATACAGATATAGTTTTCAACAATAGCATGCACTAATAAAATAATTATGCGCTCCAATATGCAGTTAAAAATAAATTTGTAATTGATTCACATTATCATTAAGGCATTGAGAGTTCTTAGATCAGCACCTTATTCATAACTTTAACATTAATAATAAAAGTTATAAATAGTTAATAAAACTAAATTTTTTTGACTAAGAGCGATTTGGTTAAAAAAAAAATTAGAACTAATATAAAATTCCAGTTGCTATTAGCTGCGGCGATATGTTATATTTTAAGAATATATTGCCACAACATTTGTGTTAAAAAAAACCAAGGACATGAACAAAGGGTAAAAAAACTTGGTTTACATATAACAGAGCAATATTGCACTCAGAGTCATGTATCATTTACAAGGCATTTATCAATGAAAATTATAGACAATACTTAATCACTATACAGATCGGGTGAAGAATTTTAGAGCCTTAGACTCACATGTGCTAACATTATTATGGTTGATAAAATCTATCTATCTAATCTTCTATATTCCTTGTTTTTGACAGCAATATCAAATATTTATCTAAAAAGTGGTCACGTAGTTGGCAAAAATATGTCAAATAAATCAAAGGTTATCAGATAAAGAGCTGTGACAAACAAACACTATGTTTAGATCGAATTTTGAGCACTCTAATATGTATAATGCCAACGAACACACAAATCACAATGGGAAATACGCCAAATTAGAATTCAATATAAAATACGTCCATCTTATAAATGCAATCAAGTCTTCGCTAGACGAAATGCGAATCGGAATTATGGTTGCGAAATCACACAATATGTTTAAAATTTTATCATTTCGATGATTTCAAATTAAAAATAAGACCTATTATTAACTCTATTATCTATTATTTGTAGACACATTAATAAAAAAGCGCTGGAAAAAAAGAAAAGATGTAATAATTATATATACTATAGTGTATATTTCAATTCAACTAAATTAGAAGGATTAATGAAATAAAAAATATGCTATTCTTAAAATACTTAAAATGTGTTAAAATTATTTAATGGTACATTCACAAAAGCAGATAGACCATCTTGGTTTGTTCATAAATAAAGTGATGTTGTTCAAGAAAAATTAAACTTAATAACTAATAAATCTACATTTGAATTGTTCCCTACAACTTTTTAGTTCTGTCAATTATCACATTAAAGACGCCAATAAAAGCCAATTATTCTAAGTACATTAAGATGAGCTTACTTCAAACAACATTGAACTTTTGTATCAGGTATTTCGTTTTTAAAAACCTGCTTAATTGTTACAAAATTTAAACATCACTTTGTATGTAAAATTACTGAATGCCATATGGTCCGCTAAAACAACTGCATACAAAATGTAGCAAAACTTTTGGCGATTGAGACGGATAAAGATAGGTTTAATTCAAAATATTCAATATATATTACTTATCAAGGCTTATACCACCATGATCTTGACTGCTTTTTTTTTAAATATCTAGTCTTAAGACCTGAGCAAGAGAGCAAAATTTGAATAAAAATCTCCACAAATCCAAATTGCTAACAACATTTACTACTACTATTAAAGATAAAGTTTGAGCCTTTTAACATGTCTCAGTAAAAATAAGAACAAAAGATAAAGATTAAAGAAAGATAAATGTGAACACACATAATTTCTAACCAATTTACTTTTTTTTACTGAAAATATAAACGAGACAATGTTTGTACTAGATTTCTAATCGCAACAGATACTCAAAAGACTAGTATACTATCCTCACAGAAATATACCAAATATGTTGATAAGGCAGTTTTTGTTATAGACTAACAAATCATTTGTTAGCCTACCTATCTTACCTATGTTATATTAGTCGCTAGAATGCATGATTTAGGTAAATGTTTGTGAGATTGAATTTAAAGTTCAAAAAAATGAGAGCTTGTAATAGAGGACTGTAATGATCGCTTTAAGTTAAAAATATTTCGGATAGAAAATGCACAAGATAAGTTTGGACGGGTTTCCTTGTGTTAATTCACTAAGGACTACATTTTTAAACAAACGATTCAATACCAGTGTGTTGTTGTCAGCTGTTATTTTACAACAATGAAAAGTTCGGTGTCCTCATCATTTGAGGATGTCCATGATGAGGCAATGTCATTATATTCATATAAACTTGCTTGTTACTCTGCTGATTGTATTTTGATATATTGGATTGTATGTGGTTGTTATTATAATTTTTATTTATTTCTTTACTAAGAGGAAGCATTTTGGCATGACCTGTTCTACCAGAATCAGGTAACAGCTTTATCGGTTATTCCATTGCTTATCGGGTTCCTCTTGTGATGATATCGCTTCCGTCTATTCCGGCAATTTTGGTCTTTCGCCGACGCCGCCCGCCAGGTCGAACACCGCTTGAGCTACCTCTGCTGCTAGCTTATCCGCGTCCTGAAATAAACAAATAGACATTTTTAACCCAGCCCAGTATGAAGCCCTCACATACAGAGGTTGTTAATATTTATTCAATGACTAAACTACACAATACAATTCTACCATCCCTTAGTTGCCTGCTAGTGCCCCAAGGCATTATTAGGATTGCATTTTCTGTTTTTAAGTGACGAAGATTTATTTAAAAAACAAAAACGTAGTGATAAATGCTTATTTAGAATTAATCTACTAAAATTAAGATTATTCGTTGTGAAAGAGAACAGCTAAACGTTCCAAAAACGACCTCTCATATTAAATCATAAGACAATATCGCCATGAAATTACTCTATACTAATAGTACATGCCAAAATTACATTATTAATAATATCGATATCAAAAAGAGATATTAATAAAACCGATAATCTTACATCCATCATAACACCTAGTAATCCGTTTATTCACTTTTTACCTGCCAACTATAATAGCGTTTTATAAACCAATATAATAGTAAAATTGCCAATTACTTTTTCGACACCCATACATTCCATGAGATTCACCATGATGTTGGATAATGTGGTGGTAGTTTTTTTTGACATTCAGTAAGAGCTTAAGTTAAGCCTAAATTTAATAAAGTTATTTTGACTTTGACTTTGAAATGGAAAAATTTAGTCCCAGATAGGCGATTCCCTTATGTTAATTGATTACCGTCCATTGATGCATCCACAGCACCAACTTAAACAGGGTGGGTCCTGGCAACTACACACCAGATCATATGTAAAAGTAGTATATAGATGCACAAAAATTATGTTGGATGTATTAGTTGTAAATATAAGCCACAGAGTGAGCGAAATAGTGGGAGCGAGACAGGACCTAGCACATTGTACGTAATATAACTTTTCACACATACACTTGTAAGCACAGAAACACAAAAAGAAAGGTCGAAGTTTTGGCTAGCCCCCAATCAATCCTGCCTAAGGCCTCAGTTTCGGCATTCAAAGTTGCGTGCCAAACGCAGCCTACGCGCTCGCTACGCGTGCTCTGCTACGTCCAACTGCTGCGTAGCCAAAATCTTCTCACTCTTTCGGCCAGCCCTTATTCGCTAGGCGTCAGTCGTCCCAAACAAAACGACTCGGATGTTACAGTTGATGGGTACGTGGTCTCTACATGGGCCGCGCTACACTTACCTGTTGCGTAACGAAAATCTTACACTCTGCGGACAGCCCTAATTCGCTAGAAGTCAGTCGTACCAAACAAAAAACAAGACTCGAGCGTTATAGTTACTGGCTACGCGGTCCGTACGCGGGCTCGGCTACGCTCTCCTGCTGCGTAGCCAAAATTTTACACTCTACGGACAGCCCCAAATCGCTGGGCGTCAGTCGTCACAAACAAAAGTCACGGAGGCGTAACAGCAGTGTCTACGCGAAACGCGCTACGCTCACCTGCTGCGTAGCGGCCTCCGCGTAGACGCGCACCACGTCCTCCGTGCCGGAGGGCCGGACGAACGAGCGGCCGTCGGCGTAGCGGCCCGCCAGCTCTACGATGCGCCCCTGCAGCCCCTCGGGGGCGGTGCAAACGCGCTCCGCGTCCGCCGTGCTGATCGCGTTGCGGTCCTGGGTTTTTTTATCGGTAAGTATTTTTTTTAATTTATTTATTTTATAAAAACATTGCCCTTACTAATAATAATGTTTTTTTATGTGAGAAAGTGGCAAACGAGCGGCCGGTTCACCTGATGTTAAGTGATAACCGCCGCCCATGGAAATTTACAACACCCGTAGGTTTGCAAATGTGTTGCCACATTTAAATAAAGTGGGCCCCGGCTACCTCACTCACCAGACGAAAAGCAGAAGTGTAACACATACTTTACGTCAGTCTTCTGTGTGGTCGTGGCACTTACCCGAACGGACCTGCCCATTCATGCAATAGTAAATAAACACTGTTGCATAGTCCTACCACATTTAATGCACTGCATTTAAATGTAATTTATTGAACACTTTTACATACAGTTTCAGTAGAGACTTGACTAAAACTATTTTTACAGATACATCGCGTTTAGTTTTAATTTTAATTCTCGACATTTCGAACACTTTAAAATCATCGCGATAAATTCGTAGTTTCATTTCGTATAACACTGTACCTGCATCAATTGCGCAGTGACCGGTGCTTGCTTTAAGATAATCGACCACCGGCTAACTTCGGACCGATTGGACACCTCTTAGTGTGTTAAGTAATAAGTATTAAACTTAGCTAAGGTTAGATTTTGTGAACCTTTATTAAATACTATTTTCAAATTAAATCGTTTGTTAGAATTCTCCGCGCAACCCGTAATTCACATAAAAATACAAACGAAACGTCAAGTAGAACAGTCTCACCTGCACAGTGACCTTGAGCTGCCTGCAGGGCAGGTCTGTATAGGCGGCCATCCACTGGCGCACATTTTGACCTCTCGCGCAGAGGACGGTCTCTACGAGGAAGAGGTCAGATATCGCGTCCCCAACGGTCTCGTTCGTCATGTCCACGAAGTCGAGGAGTAGGCCGGCCGCCTTTCGCTGCTCTGTGTCGCTGCGGAAGAATTTCCAAATTGTAGACTATAACTTGTAGCATCCTGCACATGTCCCACTGCTGGGCGAAGGCCTCCTCTGTACAGAGGATTAGGGCATAGTCCACCACGCGGCCCCTCTGCGGATTGGCGGACTTCGCACATCTTCGGAATATTTGCGTTATGTTATTATTTCGAAAGTATGCAGGTTTCCTCACGATGCTTCCCTTCACCGCTGAGCACGTGATAAGTCAGCACTTAAAATTAACAATTTCATTGGTGCCGTCACCGGGAATCGAACTCGGGTCACGCGATTGTATTGAATTAAAAGCGAGCGCCCGGATAGTGAGCCTACCACAATTTTTTTTATTTTTCAAAAAAAAACATTCATCAAAATCTTTTCAGTCGGCTCAGTCGAAAGTTTTGATGTAACAAACATAAAAAAAACTACAATACAATAGAACCTTTGAAAAAAAAAAATGATTATACAGTCGAATCGAGCGCCACCTTTTTCGAAGTCGGTTAAAATGTATCGGCGCACACTGACCCGTCCTCGGCGATCCTGCCGATCGTGCGCTTCGCCGTTTCGCTGTACACGACTGTGCCGTGCCCGTTCGCCTCGAAGTAAACGCCCACGTCGTAAGAAAGGGCGGCGTGGTGCAGATGCTTCACGCCCGTCTTCACGCACGTAACGGGCACTTTCTGCGGAAGAGACACGTCACGGTGAGCCTATATTTTTCAGCGATGGGGCCACGCAACAGTCTGCGGGCAAAACGGGCACTTTTGCACAAAAGGACATGGAACGGTAAGCCTATATTTTCCTGTAGTAGGGCCGCGCAACAGTCTTCGTCTGTGCGTGAATGGGCAGATCGCTAATAGACAGACTTCTTTAATAGGCCTGGCAAGATAGTGTTGAAAATTTTCGAAAATTTTCTTTAAAAACATCTACTAATAGACAACTAATGATGGCTAAAAGATCACGCGTAGTAGGCGCGTGTCAGTTTCGCTTACTCCGGTGTACTGCTTCTTCTGCAAGGCCGTGGTAATTGTAAGTAAGAAAAAGAATGTTATTTGAAAAAAAAAAACCTTCCAGATAAAAAAGTATGTCGATAATTGAAAAGAAAAAACATTCCAGATAAAAAAAAAAGGATGTTATATCAAACAAAAACATATTCCAGATAAAAAAGAAGGACGTTAATCCGAAAAAAAAAGAATATTGCAGATAAAAAAGTTTGTCGATAATTGAAAAGAAAAAACATTCCAGATAAAAAAGAAGGACGTTAATCGAAAAAAACATTGCAGATAAAAAAGAAGGGTGTTATTTGAAAGAAAAAAACGGATCCGATCACCGACCAGCTCGTTCACGATGTAGTTGGTGGAGGCGCCGTTGGCGTACGCCGTCTGCACGAGGCCGAGGCGCAGCTGGGCGGCGCCGCACGCGCCCAGCAGCTCGGTCACGTAGCCGGCGAGGAGGGTCGCGATACGATCCCCGTCGAGCAGGTGCATCACGTCGCTGCGACGTAACGTGTGACGGAGTTGTGATGAGGTGACGGTGACTGAGTTGTGATGAGGTGACGGTGACTGAGTTGTGATGAGGTGACGATGACTGAGTTGTGATGAGGTGACGGTGACTGAGTTGTGATGAGGTGACGATGATTGAGTTGTGATGAGGTGACGGTGACTGAGTTGTGATGAGGTGACGGTGACTGAGTTGTGATGAGGTGACGATGACTGAGTTGTGATGAGGTGACGATGACTGAGTTGTGATGAGGTGACGGTGACTGAGTTGTGATGAGGTGACGGTGACTGAGTTGTGATGAGGTGACGGTGACTGAGTTGTGATGAGGTGACGGTGACTGAGTTGTGATGAGGTGACGATGACTGAGTTGTGATGTGGTGATGGTGACGGAGGTATCCCCGGCGCCTCGGTTGCCGGGGCGGATCGTGGGTTCGATTGACAGTGACAGTCCAATATTAATAATCAGTACTCTAATCGCTTCGTGACTTTGTGGAAGTTTAACTGCGGTAGGGCCACGCAACAGTCTTAGATGTTGCACGAATGGGCAGTTCCGTCCGGGGGAGTATCACGACCTCACAGAAGACCGGCGTGAAGTGGAAGCGTTGCTGCGGCCACTTTATTAAAAGGTGGCAACGCATCTGCCACTATACGGGTGTTGCAAATGTCCATGGGCGGTTATCGTTCAACATCAAGTACATAAAAAAAAACATCAGACAGGCGTAGTGGGTAGTGAACCCGTCTCCATCGAGGTATGGAATCGAAACAATTGCTGTTATAACGCTTTTTCTAGTCTTTGGGTGTTTGCACATGTAATATACATGGTGTTGTGTTTTAAAAAAGTATGTACGATTAAACAAAACCGTTGTACGGATTTTATTGACTTTTATTCTGATTTTGAATTCCCGACCCTTTGAAAGCTTCGTCAAACAGCGTTCATGAACATAGTCCCTTGACATATAAGAATAGGAACGTCAATGAACTCGAACAACTACATTCTGTCACCTGACATTTGAAAAGTACGGCTTGGGAATAAAACTAATTTACCTGTTTTAAAATTACATCTAATTTATTAGACAAGAGCCAAGTGTCTAAGAAAAACATCTAATTTTTTGTGTGTCTTCAGGTCGATTCGAGAATGATTTAGATTCACAATTTTTTTTAAGTTGTTAAATCGGATTAAGTCAGTAATACAGGACAACGTCTGCACGTTCCGCTAGTATATTTATATTTCATGTGTATATATAGAAGATTTCTATTTAATCGTACTTATCGTCCAGGTAGTAATAGACGATCCTATCGCCATCTCCATCCAGGGAAACCACTCTTTGGAAGGGTATATGCTCTACGCCCACGGGCGGTTTCTGGGTCACCTTCACGAAGTCAGCACCGCACTGGAAACAAACGAAGAAGCGGAATTATTTATCACTAGCTGCTGCCCGCGACTACGTCTGCGTAGAATAGACTGAAGGCGTAACATTTAGACAGAAAGACAGATATACATAAAATATGTATGTAAATTATAGGCTATTTCCTATTCTGATGTATAAGCTATATTATTGTAAAGTTTCATTAGAATCCATTCAGTAGTATTTGTGTGAAAGAGTAACAAACATCCATCCATACATACAAACTATCGCCTTTATAATATTAGTAAGGACTAGTAAGGATAAGGATTAGTAAGAATTTAATTAATCCCCAAGAGCCGCGATAGTTCAGTGTCCGGGCGCTCGCTTTTAATTCAATATAGTCGAGCAACCTGAGTTCGAATCCCGGTGCCGGCACCAATGAAATTGTTAATTAGGTGCCGACTTATCACGTGAGATGACCTGCATATTTTCCAAAAAAAAAAAAAAAAATAACAGAAAAAAACAAACGAAGATATGTTGTCTGACAATCCGCAGTGCGGTCGCGTGACTACTACGCCCCAATACCTCTGTACAGAGGAGGCCTTCGCCCAGCAGTGGGACATATAAGACTGTTACTGCACGAAATTGTCGATTCCAAGTTGGGACCTGCCCATTCATGCAACACTCGTTTGTTGTTGCATGAATGCCCATGGCAAATGGCAGGTCCATCTATCTGGACTTACCCAAGTACCACGGCCTCACATAAGACAAGCATGAAATGGAAGTATATTTCTACGTTTCGTCTGCTGAGTGAGCTAGCCCAGGCTTACTTTCTTCAACCCTACGAGCATTGCTAATGTCCATGGGCGGGCGGTTATCGTTTAACATCAGGTGAACCGCCGGCTCCCTTGCCATCCTCTCACAAAAAAAATCACGAGGGTCAGTCAACTCACGTTCAGGTTGAGCTTTCCGCCGTTGCCGCCGAGGTTGTGCAGCACCAGGTCCAGCTCCCCGTCCAGGGTCTTCCTGATGATGTTCAGCTTCTTCCCCCCCACTCCGTTCGCGCCGTCCACATGCAGAGTGGCGTTGTAGTCTCCGCCCACTGGCAGCTTAGCGCGGACCCTCTTGAAAGCACCAACTATTTTCTCGTAGTATCCTGGCCAGGCGATATATGACGTTTACGTATTACATTCTCGAAGAGATTGCAAGATTAATTTGCGTACGTGCATACATATGCGTGCATATATATATATATATATATATGCGTGAGTGCATGCGTGCTGTTATCCGCCCAACACTTCATGGCGTTACGATTGATGTAGATCACGCTATCATTTGTCACTCATGAGTAAATAAGGTCACCAAAAATTTTAGAGCAATATAACAAGCAACACACTATGTAGTTTTATTTATGAATCTCCTAATGTGCACAACCATTGTTCAAAAGACTACTGCGGTCTTTGACATTTGGTCCTTCGAGCCGGATCTGTCAAATTATGTCCTTTGTCAGACTCTGTTGGTTGCAATAGAGAATGATGGCGCCTCTGAGAAAGTCAACAAGCCGAAAGCTTTTTGGAAGTTGCATGCATGCGTGTGTGTGCAGTTTAAAGATTAGGACGATATGCGACCATTAAAACCGGGATCGCGTAAAATTAATTAATACGATTCAATAAGTCGACATGTCAAGCGCGATTCTCGATGAACTTAACATTGCCTTTAACAGACATTTCATGCTTAATGAATATTACTTATTGAGACAAAAATTTTAGGCAAACTGTAAAAGCAACTTTCGTTGAAAAGGCTTGTGTCGAGATGTGTTTAAATGACTTCTGCTCTGCAAGTCCCTGGCTTACTAATGCTAGCGTGTTGTGTAATTTACAGGGACAACACGACGAAAAAACACATAAAAAAACCTAATATGTATAATAGTCTCACAAATGTAAAACTATATCAACACAAAGTAACACTCGAAATGATAATATAAAATTTAATACAATACACTGGCATGTTCTCGTTATGAATGTTTGTAGTTGTATACAACATTGCAGACAATATACACAAACAATCGATTGTTCGCTGGAATGTTTACTCACCTTCCTCCGTGGGGGTTCCGTATTTGTTGTCGTTCCTGCACTTGACGCAGAAATGCAGCATTGGTGTCGTCACGATGCCGAATTCCTTGGGAGTGCCTTTAAGGGCGATGACCCCGTGGACGGCTGCCGCGGCCAATCTTGGGCTGGTATACCTGAAAGGATGACCACGATTTTGATTCTGAATTGTATTTATACAATACTATTCAGAATATATACTAGCGACCTGCCCCGGCTTCGCATGGGTGCGTAGATATTGAATTTCTCGACTTATATATATGTCTCTCTATAATATGCATATAAACTACATATGACCCATCAGCTTGAATCACTATCTATTGCTGAAAGCCATATTTAAATCCATAGCGTAGTTTAAAAGATCTTAGCGTAAAAACATCAGAAGCGACTTTGTTTTATACTATGTAAAGATGACTCTATACATATGTGGCTCTCGAAAATTAACTATTTCAATGTGTTAAAATAGCTTTAAACATTATTTTCCTATAAAAAGTGACCATATCCTTAATACTGTGCCCTTTTGATTTTTGACATAAATGACGAAGTGCTGAGGTAACAAAAATAAAAAAAAATGCAACCGAATTGACAATCTCCCGCTTTTTTGTAGTCGGTTGAAAAACTGACGTGTTATCGTTGGTGCGTCTAATGGTGATTGCATATCTGCTCTTCAGGATGTAGGGCTATCGAAATTGGTAAAACTACAGTACTTTTTATAAGCTGGCAATAGGGCAAGTGATACCCTTGGGTTTTTTTTTTATTGGATCGTTCTTGGCCTTTAAGAGGCCTTTACAGATCTACCGGCTTGACTGGTGGACATAAAAAAAGGCTCGGCTCGGGCCGTTACTCATCATTAGTAACGGATTGGGATGCCACCAAGCTCTTAGGTCGCTTTGGCGGACGCTCCATGGAGTGATTAGGCGCAAGGGCCCCCGAGAGGGGACCTCGGCTTGGGCTGTCACTCAGTACCCATTTAGCATTCCGATTCGAGGGTGCCCGAGGGCCGGACCTCGGCTCGACCGGTAGCTATAGTCCTATTGTCGGGCTGGCAATACCCAGACATATTAGGAGATTAGAAAGAGGTTTATAATAGGTCAGAATTACAGTAGTGCGGAGTGGTAAGGATGCATCAACTAATTCTTTAAATTTTTAAAGTCCTATGACTTGTGATGTTCTTAGAATTCCAGTGTAGATCCAGTAGTGGGGAGTGGTAAGGATGCCTCAACTTAGTCTAAATTTTTATAGTGGGGAGTGGTAAGGATGCCTCAACTAGTCTAAATTTTTAAAGTCCTATGACGCGTGATGTACTCTGTACAGTTTCGTACAAATCAAGTTTATGAGGAGTGTTATGTATGAAACAAGATTTTTGGGTTAGAGTTCAATGCCAGTTTGATACGGCTGCGGGACTATCGTTATATTTATCGCATAGGGTATACTCGAACGCGGGGACTAACAGCTTGGCGTGTTATTATCATTTTTTTATGTGAGAAGGGGACAAACGAGCTGGCAGTTCATCTGATGTTAAATGATAATCTCCGCCCATGGACATTTGCAAAACCCGGAGGGTTGCAAATGCGTTGCCACCTTTAATTATGGGCTACCTCACTCACCAGACAAAACGCAGAAGTGTAACACTTCTACTTTACGCCGGTCTTCTGTGAGGTCGTGGTACTTACATTAACGGACCTGCCCATTCGTGCAACAGTGAACACTGCTGCGTGGTATTACCACAGTATAAACCAATGCTTGGCGTTATTTATTGTGAATCCTTAACAGAAATCACACTTTTTCAAATTACATTTTTAAAACGGATATTTGAACTATACCACTAGAGTGGTTTGCGACGGTTTTATCTACACATTTAAAAAGTTTCAAGTTAAGTGCTGAGACTAGCACCAAAAGTAAAAGTTAGAAGACTGGTACAAACATTACAGTATAGCATCTTAGTCGAAACGAAGAGTGGCATATCTCACCTAGTGTCCATTCCAATGAAGACTGACGCCTTGAGGGACATATCCGCATTGACTTCCTTGATCACTTGCTCCGTTGTTGATTCTAAGTCATTGTCACTGGAAATCACAAGAAAACGAGTTATAAAAATAACTCACAAAAAAACATGTTTCGTTTTAAATGCCTCGTTTAAAATTTGTTAAACAATACAGTCTTAGTGTCTCTCACTTTTGATTTTTTTAAAGAATTTAAAACAGCTTACATATTTTAATAGACCGATAAATTAATATCAATATATTTTGGACTATTTGATACACCATAGAATTAGGGCCCCTTGAGTATGACCAACAATAGAAAAAGGCAATGCTTGTAAAAACAAAGGTGTCATCAACTGGTGAGCTCTTGAAGGGCTGAAGCTGGCTAATTTTAAGTAAAATAATCTAATGTCCTGAGGATAAGGAGTCCTTAGTGAATCAAATTTAAAATCATCCTGTAACATCATCCTAAAACGCTGTTTTAATGTTATTATAATTTTTTGTAGCATCATGTATTTTAAAGTAAAAAAGAGAAATATTGCTCTACTCTTCCGAAACGACTTGATCGATTTTAATGATATTTTATATGCATATTTGTTAGATCTGAGAATCGGTCGTAATCTAATTTTCATAACCCCAAATGATAAGGGTGGTCCTCCCCAAACATTTTGTATGGCAGAAGAAAGTATGCCGGATCAGCTAGTACTAATATATTATCTATATATTAATACATAAAGCAAAAACTTTGTATCCCTTTTTACGAAAATTGCGCGAACGGAGGAGGATGAAATTTCCCACACTTGTAGAGATAGAGTGCAAAATGCTAATATTTTTTTTAAATGATGCAAATGACAAAAAATACATTAAATCAATAAAAAAATTACACACACTATCATCTATAATTAATTATGGTCGAATTTCGACCACTGGTAGACCACTACTTCTTATATAATTTTTAACAAAAAAAAAACCGACTTCAAACCGGAAACTAAAAAACATTGTTAATGCCTATAGCATTTGAGGATTGTCCTCGATTTCTTTGGTATGCCATCATCAGATCCGGGTTTCCTTATAGTAGTAACACCCTTTGGATATCTCCTTTCCAACAAAAAAAGGATAACAAAAAATGGTTCATAAACGACGAAGTTATCCGAGAACACACATAAAAAAAATAAAAATGTATACAGTCGAATTGAGAAAGCTCCTTCTTTTTTGAAGTCTGTTATAAAAATGCAATCAATAATAGATAATTTCCATTCACCTGACATTGGCCAGCCTCGTCGCGATCTCCTCCCAGCTCTGCTCCAGCATCTCGCCGTCGGGGTCGATCAGCTTCACCCCGTTATCCGGTTCCAGGTTGTGCGAGGCCGTTATCATCATGCCGATGGTGCGGCCTGGGCATCATTAATAGTTCCACAATCGTTATTTACCATTAGCCAAAATCATCATTAAGTTTCAATCAAATCATTATTACTCCTCAACTATTGTCACAATTCATTAATCTTTAAGAAAACAAATACGTAGGCATTTAATTTTTTAATCGTTATCTTTTTTTTTTCTATTATCTGATGTCTTAGTGTCTGGGCCCTTTTAATTCAGTATACTAGAGCGACCTGAATTTAAATCCAAGTGTCGGCGATGTAATTGTTAATAACAAGTTTATATGGCATTAAGACCGCCTTTGTACATACATGTGTATGCATCACTGCATAGTATAAAACAAAGTCGTCCCGCTGTCTGTCTGTCCCTATGTATGCTTAGATCTTTAAAACTACGTAGCGGATCTTGATGCGGTGATAGATAGAGTGATTCAAGAGGAAGGTTTATATGCATAATACATTGCACCCGTGGGAAGCCGGGTGCTATGTATTAGAAAACAATAAGTCGCTATAAAATAATAAATAATAATAACATCTTTAAGTGCTAATTTATCACGTGCTCATTGGTGAAGAAAATCATCAGCAAATTATAATTACAAATACGTGAAGTTTTCCTACACGCGGTTGGCTCGCGTCCCTTCTTCAGCAGTGGGACATATTATATAATCGTAGGCTGTTACTTTACTTTATAATATTACTGTATTACGTACATAAATTGCAGTCAAACTACCGAGATCGGGCAGTGTCATGTATTTCGTACGAATACATATTTACGTCGAAGAGCGGCCGAAACCGGATAACTTGGATACGCGCTATATCGAACTGTCGAAAATGTCACGAATAATTATATATTCTATATTCAGATCACACGCGGATAAATTTACCCGAAATCACTTTTCATAGCTTATATTGATTCCATTAACGGTCAAAATTATCTATTACTTTACTCACTGCTACATCGTCACCCAAGGTCAAGACCTTAGTGTTAGCACTTTCTAGTTATACTGGGCTATTGAAACAATCACCGACCCTTTAAGTCGCGTACCGCATAACGGGAATTGATTTAAGACGACCCGAATGGCGTAGTGGTTAGTTTACCTGCCTCCTGCGTCAGATGATGTGGGTTTGATTTTTCTAGTGCCTGGGTCTTTATATATGTATAATATGTATTTATTTACAATTACATATTATCTAATAAACCTAATCCACGCGGCATGGTGCCAAGAACGCTAGCTGCATTTCCTCGCTGAATAGTTGAGCGTAATTTTAGATATATTAAATCTTGTAAATATTATATCAATAAATGTATTTACAAAAGAAAAGTATGTTTAAGTATGTTTATCAGTTATCTAGTATTCATAGTACGGCCGTTGCTTAGTTTGGGAATAGAGAACGTTGTGTATAAATGTGTCCTAAAATATTTATTTATTTACTATGTATGTTGTTTTGAAATGTCACTATAAATATCGCGAGAAGTGTAATAAAATAGTTGCTCCAATCCAAAGTTGTTTAAGCTTCATACATTTTCAAGTACCCCTGACCCACGAACTCGCGCCTTTGACGAGCGAATGCGTATTTATAAAACTTGAGAGCACAGTCGAGACCCAATTGGCGAGGTTCGGTTGTTTCATTCCAACTACTAACATCGTGAGGAAACCTGCATATTTTCAAAATAATAACGAAAAATTATATATATTTCGAAAATATGTGAAGTCCGCCAATCCGTAGTGGGGCCGCGTGGTGGACTATGCCCTGATACCCTCTGTATAGAGGAGGCCTTTGCCCAGCAGTGGGACATGTATAGGCTGTTACTTTACTTTACTTTACTATTCCAACTACTTCCTGACTACTACAACAACTACTCTGGGGCATTCGGCTCGGAACAAATTTTATTGCGAACTGACGTACTGTTATGTACCTGATAAAATGTAGAGCAAAACATTTAATGACCAATCTCAAAGTTACCGTGTCATTTTCAAAGTGGACTATTTAAATATTTCAATAAGAAGTTTGCTTCACAAAGAAAAATAAATAACACCTATTAACGCTCGCCCCAATGTCTTCAACTATTATTTAATATTAATTCTCTCTCTTTTTAGGGTTTCGTACCCAAAGGGTTAAAGGGGACCCTATAACTAAGACTCCGCTGTCTCTCTGTCGGTCCATCTATCACCACGCTGTATCTCATGAAACCGTGATAGACAGTTGAAATTTTCACAGATGACGTATTTCTGTTGCGGCTCTAACAAAAATATTACAAAAAAAAAAAAAAAACAGAATAAAAATATTTAAGTGGGGGCTCCCATACAACATACATGATTTTTTCCCCGTTTTTATAGATAATCGTACGGAACCCTTAGTGCGCGAGGAAGACTCGCACAGGACGGTTTTTTTTTCAAAAGAAACAACTCGAGCAAGAAGAGAAGACACAAGCAAACCCAGACCCAATTTTCGTTCCGTGTGGGGATCGAACTCACAATAACTGATGCAAAATACCTAAACCATTGCACTCTCTGTGCAGTCTGTCTATTCGACTGAAACATTGTTTAATAGTAGGCTTACTAATAATTTATATTGTTTATTAGTAGGTTTAATTATTTTTTATTATATTAATTGTTTATTAGTAGACTTTATGGTTCACCTGATGCTGAGCTTGCACAACATACGTGGGGGTTGCGGCTGTGTTGCCAACTTTTAAAATAAAGGCCGTTTAAAATAGTCTCGTTTAACTTTTTGAATATATGTTTAAATTGGCGCAAAACTATGATATTTCACGTTGATCTTTTCTAGACCGTGGTGATTCCCCAGACTAGACTTGAACATTCGTGCAATAGCAGAACCTGCTTTGGAAATTTCTTATAGTATTATATTTCTATTATTTAAACTATATTAACAAATCTTCATTCGCATTACATTAGTAAGCAGTTTCTTTATTGTACAAAAATGTTTTAAGCCAAATAATATTAAATGACGAGTTTTTTATACTCATATCAGAATCGCTACAATAATTAAGTTAGGTTAATACCACCCCGCGGGTAAATGGCAACGAACCTCGTAAAAAAAACTATTTAATTAATTAATTTCATATTCCCAAGTAACACGATAAAGTAACATTATTATAAATGCAAAGTTCGTACGTAATTTGGAATGGAATTAGCTAAGGAGTAATATTTTTGAAGATAGTTTATAACTTTGTTTAAATATTTGTTTAGTTATTAAAAGATCCATTAGATAGAGACTATAACGGATCGAAATATACACGGCGAGTAAAATGACAAAAAATTAAACATGTTTTTTTAAGTTGTTTTAATTCAAGCCTACGGACAAAATTCGGCGTGGAGCGTAAAAATGTAAGCATATCAACTCAGCTACGTGCGAAACCGGGGTGGGTCGGTCAAAAGAATTTCAATCAATGTATAGATCTACGGCATTGGTATGCGGTGCCGTATCTTGTGCAATTGACAGACATGTACAAAGCGGAACCTTGTTTATACAAAACTAGCGACCCGCCCCGGCTTCGCACGGGTGCAATGCTGAATGTTTGTTTTCGATATCGCATTAGAAACCTATAAAATTCTCTACTATATGTTTTTCTACTATATTATGCATGAAGTTTACATATCAAAAATCAAAATCAAAAATATATTTATTCAAATAGACGCTTGCGCGCTCTTATGAATCGTCAAATTTTACATCAAAGTTCATGTATATAGGTTCGAAGGGTACCACCATTTCGGAGAGCAGTTTCTGTTGAGAAGAGATCGGCAAGAAACTCAACAGTTGCTCTCTTTCAAAAATATCAGGGTACAATATAGGTAATATACAGGTATAATAGTCTTATCCTAGCCTACGTGAGTATCAACAGTATTAACTCCACACATTCAGTCGAGATATTCCGAAATGGTATAATATGATTTAATCATAAGTTGATTTTTAATTTTACACTTAAATTGATCAAGCGACAGACTTAATATCGACTGTATAAGACTGTGTAATATATAAACCTGCCACTCGAATCACTAATATTATTAAAGGAAACCGCATCAAAGTCCGTTGCGTAGTTTTAAACTTTTAAAGATCTGAGCATATATAGGGACAGACAGACAGCGGGACGACTCTGTTTTATACTATGTAGTGATAGTGAAGAGTTTCTCTCACGCGAGAATCTTGAGTTTCTCTCATGCGATTCTCTCATGTGGCTGTTTACGTTATGATAATAACTCGTAGTGATAACGATACTCGGATTGAGTGTCGAAGGCGAGATCCGCTCCTCCTAAATTGTTTAGTCTACAGACGAGATTCGCAAGTATTGATGTAAGCCTCGATGAAATCGCTCTGTACTGATTTTGTACGAGGCATTTGTGACCCATATTTTCGACAGTGGAGGCCTATAAAAATGTCATAAACGTGCCGAAAATCGGTAGGATAGCAATATCAAATTTATATAAATTGTGAGTGCCTCTGGCATGAACAAAATAAAGGCTGTAAGAATAAGGGGCTGAAGAGCTACGAAAACGTATTGAGGGCAATGTTTCAATAAAGATGACGCATGTCCATACTAAGCGGCGTTTAAAAACTGTTCCGCTCTACATTATAATCACACTAGCTGTTAACGAACTTAGCGACTTCGCCCGCACGGCTAAAGGCAATTAATTAACAATGAGTTTTTTATTTTACACCAGAATATCTCGCAGATGGCGAGTTTTTTCTGAACTAAGTATAGTTGACATTTATCATTACCTATATGTTAGAAAATTCACACAATATCTTTATAAATTATAGTCTATGTGTTATTCTGATGTATAAGCAATATTATTGAAAAGATTCATTAAAATCTGTTCAGTAGTTTTTGCGTGAAAGAGTAAAAAACATCCATTCATAACTACAAACTTTCGCTTTTATTATATTAAGTAAGGAAGTAAGGATATATTTATTATAAGTGAATGTGACAGATGGTACAGAACGTATGATACGGAAAGAGGTAGCAGTCTATAGAATTGC